AACACGAAGAAGAGAGAGAAAGAGAAACAAGAACAAAAACGACTCAAAAAATAATGATAATCAAAAAAAAGATCAAATAAAAAAAATAAATAAAGATCAACACAACATCCAAAATTACACAACCAAATCCACTTTCAAAACACAAACAAAACAAAAACACACTGACAAAACAAACAGCAAAAATCCAAACAAGCCCATTAGAAGACGTAAACAAAACTTGCGTATTCTTCCCCTCGCGTTCCAAAATTTGTCCCCCGAGGAATACCTTATAAGGAAGAACGTAACCCCTCCCCCCCCCGTGGAACAACTTTTCGGAACGGCGTAACTTACCTTATCTATAATTTCAACAACTTTAGGAGCTTTTAAAGGCTGGTTGAGACGAGAGGGAGAACGAAATCGGGAAGAATAAGCGTGTTTGTGTGTTTTATATTGGTGTTTGTGTGTGTGGGGGGGGGGAGTGGGGGAAGGGAGGGGGGTTGTGTGTTTATGATTTTTTGTGTTTGTGTTTGTGTATGTGGTTGTGGGGAGGTATGTGTGTGTGTGTGTGTGTGTGTGTGTGTGTGTGTGTGTGTGTGTGTGTGTGTGTGTGTGTGTGTGTGTGTGTGTGTGTGTGTGTGTGTGTGTGTGTGTGTGTGTGTGTGTGTGTGTGTGTTAGATTATTCTTATCATTGCTATAATCTCTCATTATTATTATCAGTAGTAGTAGTGATAATAATAATAATAATAATGAATGTAATAATATTGATATCATTGTCACTATCAGTCTTACTTTCACCATCATCATCATTATATCATCATCATCGCTAACATNTGTGCATTTTGTTAATTTGGTAATTAATATGTCTGGTAAATGTTCGTTTCGTAATCTGTTGGTTTGTTTGGTTGGTTTTTCTGTCTGGTTTGTGTATGGTTATGCTATTTTATGATCGGGTACAATGTCTATGGGTTCTTATCGTACTTTTATATAGTGTTTTCCTTATCATTTCCCATGTTATTAGCTAACTATTCTATATGTCATATTAATATGGTAGCTAGGATTAGATTAAATCGTTAAATCATTAGATTCTATTATTATTCGCACATATTTTAACCATATTTAGGTTTGAATTTTTCAATTGTTTGTTTATAATCGGTGTTTTTATTTTCATTTGTATTGTATTCAATTCTAGTCTATTATCAACATTGGCATTTGTACGTCAAGTAGCAAGACCCAAGAAGCAGTTGATAAGTGCAATAGTAGTAAGTAGTCGCTGGTTGGTGTTAAGTAAGTTGTAAGAATAGTAACTAAACAGCAGCTTCCTTTTTAGAAGTGATGAGCTGTTGTTTGGGGTTGTGGTAAGTTTTCTGTTGTATATAACTAGAATGAAAGCAACAATCGTTTCTAAGGTGTAAGTAGTTAGCAAGTAGCACAACAATGAAGAAGATAAGTGGTAGCAGTAGGTTTGTTAGCAGCATTGTAGCAGTAGAAACAAACAGCGAAAAGAAATTGGTGGTAGCAAAGTAGTTGTAGTAGTTGTAACACAGCAAAAAAATAGTGGTGGGCAGTAGTTGTAGGCAGCAGTTAGTAGTAGCAAGTAACAAAAGCAAAAGGAAAAGTGGGTGGCAGTAGTTGTAAGCCAGCAAAGTTTGTAGTAGCAGATCATAAAAAGCTAAAGGAAATAGTGGTAAGCAAGTAAGTTGTAGCAGCAGTTTATAGCAGTAGAAACAACAGCGAAAGAAATGGTGTAGCAGCAGTTGTAGCAGTAGTAACAACAACAAAGGAAATAGTGGTAGCAGCAGTTGTAGCAGTAGTAACAACAACAAAATAAAGTAGCAGCAGTTGTAGCAGTAGTAACAACAAAAAATGAAATAGTGGTAGCAGTAGTAGTGTTTGCAGCAATAACCCTCCATCAATGTCAATATTGTAAACATTACGCTTACTTCTACGATTCTCACAACCATCCCGAACAAAATGTTGGTGACAAGAGCGAAAATGTGTACGATAAAGATGTCCACTAATAGCGAGACACCATTACCACGCTAGCAGAAGCAATAGCAATGTTATTAAAGGCATCAGAGGCAATAACGAACGTGCCAAAGAGTATTTCATTGTCGAGTTGTCAAGGGAAAGCTTTATTTGCAAAGTTCCTTTTACTTTTGTGTGTCGTGTTTGTGTACGTCGTGTGTGTGTGTGTGTGTGTGAGTCTTTGTGTGTGTGTTATTTTGTTGAGTGCGTGATTGTGTGTGATGTGTGTGGTGTGGTGTTAGTGTGTGTGTGTGTGGTGTGTGTGTGTGTGTGTGTGTGTGTGTGTGTGTGTGTGTGTGTGTGTGTGTATTTTTGTGAGTGTCGTGTGTGTGTGTGTGTGTGTGTGTGTTTAGTGTGTTGGTGTGTGTTAGTGGTGTATGTGTGTGTATGTTAGTGTGTGTGTGTGTGTGTTAGTGTGTGTTGTTTGTGTGTGGTTGTTTTCTGTGTGCGTTTATTTTGTGAGCTGCGTGTGGTGAGTATGTGTGTTTAGTTGTGTGTGTGTGGTGGTGTGTGTAGTGTGTGATGTGGTGTGGTGTGTTGTGTGTTAGTGTGTGTTGTGTGTGTTGTCTTAGATGAGTGTGTGCGTGTTAGTGTAGTATTGTGTGTCTGTACATCTGTGTATGCTTGTGTGCGTGTGTGCATATCTGTGTATCTATGTGTGTGTTGGGTTGGTGTAGGCGTTATATGGGACTGCAGACCCACATATTAGAGAGAGCAAATAATGTGTCAGCCGTGGTCTCATGTTGCATTGTTCGATCACGAGCATCCGTTACAAACTGCCTCTCCCCTACACACAATCACACACACACACGGCCGACACGGTTTCACAAACTTTTCCGATTATCCGATGCCGTCCTTCTAGTTCTGGTTTCTTCTCGTTTCAGCTCCTTCTTTGGCTTCTCAGTCCTATCTCGGTTCGCTGTCTCTTTGGCTATTTGGTTTTGTTTTGTCATGTATGGCTTGTCTTCTCTGTTTGTTCACTCGTATCCTCTAATCTCAATCTTGCTGTCCTTTGCATACTGTCACGCTTTCCCCTTCTTCTAGTCCCCTTCTTTAAGAGTTGATCCGCCGTCCTCACTCTGTCTTCGCTCATCCTTTTTTTCTCCCCCTCCTCTCTTCTTTCTTCGCTACACTTTTTACTTCTCCTCCATCTTCTTTCCTTCCTCCTCCTCACCTGTCATTCCATTGCCTCCCTCTTTTTTTCTTCTTCCTTCCGCCTTGCTCCTTCTTCTTCCTCCCTGCCCGTTCCGCTCCTAACCTTGTGACTATCCTTTCCTGCCTTCCCTCCTATTCCCTTTAAACTGTCTTGCTTGCCTTCCTTCCTGGCTCTCTTATTCTCTCTCCTCCCTCCTCCCGTCCATCCCGCCTCCCTCTTCCTTTACTTCTTTCTCCTCCTCCCCCCCGCCTCCTCCTCGTCCCTTTACATTCTTCTTCCTCCTCCCCGTACCTCCTACTCACTATACTCCTCCCCTACAGGTATTTAAAACATGCCATAACACTCTGATGTTCTCATCACAGCTGAGCTTTGGCGCTCCCAGTAAGTTGCTAACTTTATAAGCCTTTATAATGACAATAGATCTTCACCCCCAGCGCCCGTCTCACGCACTCTCGCCACACTACCCTCCTGAGTCAACATCTTTCTTCCCCTTCCATCTTTTCGCTTCTTGGTCTCTCCGTTTTTTTCGCTCCATGCGTCATCTTTCATTCCATTTTCTTCCTCAGATCGGTCTGCTTGATCGCTTTCATAATTATGGGTATTGTTAGTTGTCGTAGCTTTTTTTGGTTGTCTTTCTCTCTTTCCTCTAATTTACAATTTCTCTTTCTCTTCATGTGATTCTTATCATCCCCCTTTCATTTTGCCTCCATTCGTCGAATTACTTCGTCCTTAGCTTCTCCTGCTCTTTCTGTGCCATTGCCAGCTCTATTCACTACTCTTTTGCGTTCTTTTAAACCTGTCTTCCTTGTCTTTATTTGTCTCTGCATCCATCCTTAATTACACCTCTTTCTATGCTATGCTCATCTCGTAGCAGCTTTTCCATACCTTTTCTTTCCCTCTTCTTCCTATCTCACTTAATCCACTTATTCTTTATCTGCTTTTTCCTCGCATCAAAAATCCTGCTTCTTGCTTCTTCTAGCTCGCTCCCCCTCACCGTAATTCGTATCTTCGCCCCGCCCACATCTTCATTTATCCATTCCTCTTTTCCCCAGTCTCCTGACCTTTTTCCCGTGTTCCTCTAATCCTTCTCTCTCTATCCATCATCTTCCACTCCCTTCTCTCTAACCCCTTATCCCCTGTTCTTTATCTCAGCTTTATGCCCTACTTCACACCACCATCAAATTCCTCCCTCCTCTCTCTCATCTCTCCCATTTCTCGTTCCCGCTTATCCTCTATACTCAGTCACGTCCTTACCGCCACCCCTACCTCCACCAACCACCCCCCAATATCCCTCCCCTCCCCTCCCTCCTCCCCTCCCTCTCGCCTCCCCTCCCCTCCCCCTCGCCCCCCCTTCCCCTTTCCCCCTCCCCTATCCCAGCCTATCCCCCCTCCCCTTCCCCTATCCACCTCCCACCCTACCACCCTTACCCTTCCCTACCCCCTCCCATCACCCTTCCCCTCCCCCCCTATCCACCCTCCCCCTTTCCCCTCACCCACCCCCCACACTCTCCCCTCCCTCCACCCCCACCCCCACCCCCCCCACTAACATCTCCCCACCTGTGTGCGTAATAGACGTCCCTCTCTCTGTGGTCGTGTGCGTGGATCTCTGTGTCTGTGTCTGTGTTGTTGTCTCGTGTTGTGACTGTTTGTTTGTTTGTGTTTTTAGTTTGTTTTGATGTGATTTTCTTGTTGGTGGGGATGGTGGTGGGGTTGTGGTTGTGTTGGTGTTTTGTTCCTGTTTTTTGTTGTTGTTTGTTGTTGTTGTTGTTGTTTGTTTTTTTTGTTTGTTTTATGGGGGAGTTACTTGTTTTTCAATTTCATTTTTGTTGGTAAATAAAGTTCTCTTCATCACACCTGGCAGGTCACCCTGTACCACACCTGGCAAGTCACTCTGTCACCTCCCCTGTCAAGTCACCCTGTCACCTCCCTGTCAAGTCACCCTGTCACCACACCTGGCAAGTCACCCTGTCACCTCCCCCTGTCAAGTCACCCTGTCAACGGCCCTGTCAAAGCGCTTATGTAAACGGCCCCTTTCAAGTCACCCTTTCACTACCCCTGTCAAGTCACTCTGCCACTACCCCTGTCAAGTTACCATGTCAACCACCCTTGTCAAGTCACCATATATACCGCCCCCTGTCAAGTCCATTTTCCTAACCCTGTCAAGTCGCTAACCCTGTCAAGTCAATTTTCCTCACCCCTGTCAAGTCAATTTTCCTCACCCCTGTCAAGTCATTTTCCCTCACCCCTGTCAAGTCCCCATTTCCCCTCACCCCCTGGTCAAGTCCATCTTCCCTCACCCCTGTCAAGTCCATTTTCCTCACCCCCTGTCCCAAGTCCATCCCCCCTGTCAAGTCCATTTTTCCTAACCCCTGTCAAGTCATTTTCCTACCCCTAGTCAAGTCCATTTTCCTAACCCCTGTCAAGTCAATTTTCCTCAACCCTGTCAAGTCAATTTTCCTCACCCCTGTCAAGTCAAGTCTCCTCACCCCTGTCAAGTCAATTTTTCTCACCCCTGTCAAGTCCATCTTCCCTCACCCCTGTTCAAGTCAATTTTCCTCACCCCTGTCAAGTCATCTTCTAACCCCGTCAAGTCCATTTTCCTAAACCCTGTCAAGTCCATTTTCCTAACCCCTGTCAAGTCCATTTCCTATCCCCTGTCAAGTCCCTCACCCCTGTCAAGTCCATTTTCCTAACCCCTGTCAAGTCAATTTTCCTCACCCCTGTAAGTCCATTTTCCTCACCCCTGTCAAGTCCATTTTCCTCACCCTGTCAAGTCCATTTTCCTAACCCCTGTCAAGTCCATTTTCCCTCACCTCTGTCAAGTCAATTTTCCCTAACCCCTGTTCAAGTCCATTTTCCTCAACCCTGTCAAGTCCATTGTCCCCTCACCCCTGTCAAGTCCATCTCCTCACCCTTGTCAAGTCTAGTTCCTCCTACCCCCTGTCAAAGTCAATTTTTCTCACCCCTGTCAAGTCCATCTTCCTCACCCCTGTCAAGTCAATTTTCCTCACCCCTGTCAAGTCAATTTTCCTCATCCCTGTCAAAGTCGCAATCTTCCTCAACCCCTGTCAAAGTCAATTTTTCTCCACCCCTGTCCAGTCCAATTTTTCCCGCTCACCCGCTGTCAAGTCAAATTTTCATCACCCTGTCAAGTCATTTCACCACCCCTGTTCAAGTCACCATACAAACCCAAGCTCTCATGCTCAACCACCCTTGCCAAAGGTAACATTTCCTCACCCCTGTTCAAGTCCCAAATTTTCCTCAAACCCCTGTTCAAGTCCATTTTCCCTCATCCCGTCAAAGTCAATTTTCCCTCACCCCTGTCAAGTCAATTTTCCCTCACCCCCTGTCAAAGTTCCTAATTTTAACCACCCTGTCAAGTCACGCATACAAAACCAGCTTCTCATGTCAACCACCTTGCCAAGTAAAAACATTTTCCTCACCCCTGTCAAAATCGGTTTTTCCTCACCCTGTCAAGCCACCGTATAAACCGCCCCTGTCAAGTTACTCAGCGACTTCGCCCTTATCAAAGCGTCTTCCTCTGTCCTCATCCCTGCCAAGTTATTATCATATTCATTTTTGATATCACCATAACCACCACTATCACCTCACAGTTCGTCTTCATCACCACCCTCACCATCACAATCGTCATCATTAAGACAATCATCACAATCGTCTTCCATCACACCCCTCATCATCATAATCGTCAGCATCACCCTATCACCAATCTCATCATTCACAATCGTCATCAATCACCATCACCATCCATCATCATCACCATCATCACCATCCCCATCACAATCACCAATCATCACCACTCATCTTCAATAAATCGTCATCCATCAATCTCACCATCACCACCCTCACCATCACCAATCCACAATCACCATCAATCACCACCCTCATCATCACAATCGTCAATCATCAACCACCTCACATCACCATCACAATCACCATCATCACCACCCTCATCATCACAATCGTCATTATCACCACCCTCACCATCACCATCACAAATCACCAATCATCACCACCCTCATCAAACAACAATCATCACATTAAAGATAATCACCATCACTCACAATCCACCATCAAAATAATCATAACTGCACCAAATATGTAACACGCGTCCCATCAGATACCCTTGCCGCCTCACCCTCCCTCCCACCTCCACTGCTTCACGGGGATTATACTTTCTCCCCTTCTCTCACCCTCGATCATCCCCTCTCCACTCCCCGCTTCTACTGTCCCTCTCCGCCTCACCCGCTCTTAAATCTCCCTCACGACCACTGTGCCCTCACTCCTTCACACTCATCTCTCCACTTCCCCGCTCTCACTTCCTCCTATGCACGCCCTCCATCACGACCCTCGCCCCCTCTCCACTCCCCTATCACCTCCTCCACTCCAACCTCCCCACCAACTCCTCACCCCCCACTTCACTCCACACCTCCCCCTCTCCAACTCCGCGCTCACCCCTCCACTCACGCTCAACACCTCCCCTCTCACTCCCCGTCACACGCACTCTCCATTCAACATCACCACTCCCCTCTCCACTCCCCTCACCCCTCCACTTCACTCCCACCTCCCCCTGTTCTCTCCCTATATCCACACCATCATCCCATCTCCCCCTCTCCACTGCCCCGCACACCACTCCACTCATCCCTCTCTAACCCCCCCGCACCCCCCGGCCACTTCTCCTCCACTCCCTTCCCCTACCCCCCTCCCCCCCCCCCCCGACAGCGGTCAAGGGGGTGATTGATCCTTGAGTAATATTAGATTTGACACGTGGAGTATCGTTTCTTGAGGGTGGGGGCTGGGGGTAGGGGGTGAGGGGAGGGGAGGGGGTGAGTGGGTGAAGGAGGGGAAAGGGGTGGGGAGGGTATTAGTACGGAGGGGTAGGTGCTGGAGATGTGTGTGGTCTATGTTTGTGTATGTGTGTGTGTGTGGCCTGATTGTGTGTGTGTGGTTGTGTACCTGATCTGTTAGTGTGTGTTCTGTGTGTCTGATTTGTGTGTGTGTCTGTTGGTGTATGTATTCTGTGTATGTGTGTATCTGATTTGTGAATGTGTGTGCCTGATCTGTGTGTGTGTGTGTGTTGGTGTATGTACTTGATCTGTGTATGTATGTATCTGATCTGTGCATGTGTGTGCCTGATCTGTGCATGTACGTATACCCTATCTGTGTGTGAATGTGTGTGAGAGAAAGCCTACATCTACGTGCACAAGCATATATGTACATGTACGTATATACACATCATTCATATGCATAATCAACCTGTACATACATATATACTTAACATTCAAATACATACCTATATAATACCTATCCATCAAAATATTTCACCAAAATCAAATAATAACATTAATCAGATTTCCGAAACGGGGAATAGACGTAAACAAAATAACAGATGATGAGAGAGAATCAACCATTCCGATGCTTGATGGTTGATGATGATAAAATGGCTTATTTGGAGTGACTGCTGTCTGGCATGTGGGGCTGGCTTGTCATAGTCGCGGGGTCGTTCTCTTTTTCTGTCTGGTTCTGTCTGTCTGTCTGTTTGGTTCTGTCTGTCTGTTTGTTTGTTTGTCTGTCTGTTTGTTTGTTTGTTTGTCTCTCTGTCTGTTTGTTTGTCTGTCTGTCTGTTTGTTTGTCTGTTTGTCTCTCTGTCTGTTTGTTTGTCTGTCTTGTCTGTCTGTCCTGCTGCTCTCTGTCTTCTATCTTAGCTGTAATATCTGTATAGCTATTTATCTGTATCTGTCCATCTGTATATTTATCTATCTATATATAAACTAATATATATCCATCCATCTATAGTTGATCCTCTGTATATATATCAGGCTATCTATCTGTCTGTCTGTCTGTCGCTTTATCTATCTGTTTATCTACCCATCACCTATCTACTATCTATCTAATCATCTATCTATCTATCTCTAGCCCTCTCTGTCTTTCTGTATACCTCTGTATATATATATATATATATATATATATATATATATATATATATATATATATATATATATATATATATATATATAATATATGTATATATATATATATATATATATATATATATATATATATATTATATATATATATATATATATATATGTATATTAATATACATATACTATATATATATATATATATATATATATATATATATATATATATATATTATAAATATATATATGTATGTAACATACATATACTATATATACATATGAATACTATATATGTGTATGTATATATGTATATATATACATACATACATATATGTATATATACATAATATATTACATCATTGAAATCAGCCATCACTGTGTTAGAAGAAATACGTATTGAAGAGAGTGGATCCCCCCCTCCCCCTCCCCCTCCCTCCCCTCCCTCCCCTCCCTCGCCTTTTGTACGAAATATGCAATGCGTTTTATCAACTTTTCTTCTTTTCAAAATCACTGCATATTGGGCCAATTTGACATATGCGGGTCAGATTATGTGAGGTTGTCTTGCTTTTCAAATCTGATGTCCAGTACTTTCGAATATGATGGTGATGAAAATGATGGTGATGATGATGATGGTAAATGTAAAAATGAATATGGTGATGAAAATGATGATGGTGATGAAAATGAATGATGATAATGATGGTGATGATGTTGGTAATGTAAAATGATGGTGATGATGGTGATGAAAATGATGGTGATGTTGGTAAATTGATGAAAATGATGGTGATGATGATGGTGATGAAATGATGGTGATGAAAATGAATGGTGATGTTGGTAATGTAAAATGATGGTGATGAAAATGATGGTGATGGTGATGAAAATGATGGTGATGATGTTGGTAATGTAAATTATGGTGATGGTGATGATGATGATAATTGATGGTGATGATGAAAATGATGATGGTGATGATGTTGGTAATGTAATTATGGTGATGGTGATGATGATAAAATTGATGGTGATGATGAAAATGATGATGGTGATGATGTTAATGAAAATATAGTGATGATGATGAAAATGATGGTGATGATGATGAAAATGATGATGGTGATGATGTTAATGAAAATGATGGTGATAATGAAAATGATGGCAATGAAAAATATTGGTGATGTTTGATGATGAAAATTATGAATGGTGATGATGATGTTAATGAAATGATGTTAATGAAAATGATGGTGATGAAAATGAAGACGGTAATGAAAATGATGCTGATGATGATAATGGTGATTGTGATTATATTGACTATAGTATTAATCTTGATGGTAATGTCAATAGCAGTGATATTGATGGTGTGATGATATTTTTGATGAGGATCATGTGAATATCATTAAAATCATGATAGCAATACATTCAATGATGATAGTAAAAATATTGATAATGATGATAGTAGTGATGGTTATGATGATAACAATATGGAATAGTAGCAGAGATAATTATAACTATTTTCATCATTACTATTGTGATTATTATCATCAATGTTATTACTGTTATTATCATCATTATGGTTGTCATTATCATTATCATCATTAACATTGTCATTGTTATCATTCACTGTTATTATGCTATTTCGTCACTATCGTTGTCATTATCATTATCATCATTAACATTGTCATTGTTATCATTGCCATTTCTGTTATTCTATTATTATCATTATCATTATTGTTATCATCCTTGTTATTGTTATCATTATTGTTATCATCATTACTATTATTATCATCATTATTATCTTCATGATTTCCATTATCGTCATTACTAAGATAATGATGAGGATGATAAGGAGAATAAATGATAATGATGATATTGATGAGCAATTTGATGAGAATAGTAATAATAATAATGACAATGATAATGATGATAATAAAAACACCAATAATGATAATAGTAATGATAATGATAATGATAACAATAATGACAATAAGAATGATAATAATGATAACGATAATAACAACAATATGATGATAATGACTATTACTCTCATTATCATCACCATTACAACAATAAAATCGATAATAATGATACACGATCACCACGATTTTCTTTCTGATCTTACAAACGATAATAATTTCCTTTTTTTTCTTTTTCGAAAATCTCTCTCCTCTCTCACCCATCTTTCGGAAATTCTCGTCGAAAAAAGGTGAGAAATTCTCGTGTCTTTCTCTCTCCACTGGCCGAGCAAGGCGCCGTCCATTCCCAGAGGTCCGGATGGTTCTCTTCGCCGATTCCCAA